AAAAATCCCCTTTACCTAAGTAAGATTAAAAAAAATAATCTTAAATTAACATAAATAAACACCTTAGAGTTTATACACAGCCTACAACCAAGTAGATAACAGCACAATAATTTAAAACAATAATTTAATAATTTAATGTGTTATCCATATTGTGGTAGTTATGATTAAAAATGTAAGGAATATTCAAATATGAATTATTATAATTCTTGTACTTACATTAACCAAGGCAAGCATTAACCAGATGACAGTGGTCCTTGATATGTGAGATGCGATATGTGCCGACATTTTGGACCTGAAAATTTACAAATAATATATATTAGCAAGACTGTGATGACCCTTAGGGGAAGAGAGAACCCAATGCTCTCAAAGGACCTTAACCAAATGGTCGATTATTCCCAACCCATTTCGATGAAATTAATGAAGATTTATCATAGCAACATTCACAAGTGCTATATAGCTCCTATATTGACAGATTGCTGGACGATATTCGGTTTAATGGGAAGGGAATTAAATTCTTTGACGTTGTAGTATGACGTTTTATGTTGCTTTTACCGTATGTTTCGTTGCTATTGTTTTATCAACTTTTATTAAAACATATACTGTAAAAGGAATTCTCCAGTTCTGGATAATTCACAAGGCTACAAGTGAATTTGTATTATTTACATAAGTGAAAATATCTGAATAAATATACGATGTAAACTAGTTTGGTGAGGCGCCGAGCTAGGCGATTGCTTTCTCGACGTGAAAACGATTACGGCCAATGTCGACATCACATAATTTCCCATATTCTCGTATTCTAGCTGCTTTTTATTTTATTTTTCAATAAACACAATAATCATGTAGCAGTTACAATCCTGTTAAAATATGTAAGTATATTTAAATTAACTTCTGAATGTAGAATTTAACAGTTTGCGTAAATATGGGCGTAATATTTGCGCATTGTATCAATATGGTAAAAGTTACTATATTACAAGAATATATTCCATACCATTTAAACTAAGTATTTTCTAACTTATAGGACAGAAAAAAAGTCAATCATATCGATGTCTCCAACGTAAACTATCGTATGTTCGAAACATAAATTTTGCAAGACACAACTTTAATACGATTAATTATGAGTCATAAAAGATGAATATAGAAGAAAATTATATTCTTTCGAATGTTAATTTCAAAATTAACACAGAAATTAGTATTTATCATATTAGTTTAAGAAACATAAAACAAGATGCAAGTGCCAAAATGGTATGATTAGGAATCAATATTCTTTCTTTCAATGGCACATTATTAATAAAATATTATTTACACATATAAAAAGATTGTCGGCTTACACAACATTAGGCTAAAATTACTTAAGAACTTTCTCCATGTTAAAAGACGAATCGATAATGTTTACACAAAACACTTACACCAATCTATGGCACTTAAGAATTTGACACCATTCCTTTCGCAAACAGAGATGTGACAAATATTTTAGTTGGGCACAACGGAAACATTTAACATGTACTTTCCAATGAATGAACAATACAATTATACTCGAATACCATAGGTACTCAGGTTTAGTCACTAAGGAAGACAATTTAGACGAGCTATCGCCCGCAAAATTTACTAGTGCAAATTTGGACCACCCGTTACGCCATTTTGACGTGCAAAATTAAAAAAGGTAGCCTATAATATGCCTATTCATGTCAGCTACCCTCTAGTGAAAGCCCCATCGAAATCGGCCCCGCCGTTTCGGAGATTACGCAGAACAAACGCGGCTTGTACACAGGCAGACAGACAGACATTTTTAAAGGGGACTTTCGTTATCAACAATGCAAATGCATCATCTTCCCGAAATCTAAAATTTTTCTTTTGATATTATAGACACTCCAATTTGGTAATATGTATAGAATATATCTAAATACTAAGAGAGAATATTTAACTCTGACTACAGTCAGACAATGAATTATTGACAAGAGAGAAAAGCAATAGTTAGATTTTTTCTATAACGAGTCTCAATGACCACATCATTATATTATGGTCTTCGATATCAAGACTACAACAATAATGTCATTATAACAACGATACTCTTGTAACGAGAATGCGAGAGAAAACGTTCATTATATCGAATTTAATGGAGAAAAAGAACAGCCAGCCAATTACTTGTTATTGGATTATGAAACATTCTATTAAAGCAAAATCATACTAATATAAATAAACTAATATTATATATGTGAAAGTGTAAATGTATAGATGAATGGATGGATGGATGTTTGTAAGAGTTTGTAGACTAAACTGCTGAACGGATCTCAATGAAATTTGGCATAGATGTAGAGGATAGTCTGGAAGAACATATAGGCTACTTGTTTTTTTTTTATTACCACGCGGGCGAAAGCTAATACTAAATAAAAGTAGTTATTTTAGTAAGAATAGTAGTACAGTAGAGCCTCGATAAGTTAAAGTCCAAGGGAAACAGAAAATATTTTAAGCTATAGAGGTTTTGGGTTATCAAGGGTCTATGTTGTAGAGGTTTTGGGCGCTGATGGGAAGGGAATTATTTTTTGAAGTTATAGAGGTTTTTAAGTTACCGAGGTTTGAGTTATCGAAGTTCTACTGTAGTAGTAGTAGAATTAGTAATTGTAGTAGAATTATAGTTCTGGCAACTTTACAAGCGCATTGTAAGAGAAGAAATAATTGAACGTCAGTCGTTAAACTACATAATATGTGCGGCCGTTTACTCATTCGATGGAATAATAGCATAATAACAAGTTTTAACATTTACGAGGCCAACATTTGAAGCGAACCGCTCACTAAAAATAACTTTTAACATTGACAGCCGTTGTTAAGTATGGCATGTTATTATATATTGTAATAAGATGCCTCACTATTTTGCACGTAACAACGTATTTGCAGCATGAAAACCTCGGAAGTAGCGAGTATTTTCAACATTTTATGTGTTTCAATTTCAGTTCAGTAAACAGTAATTGATATTACATTCTGATAACAAAGTATTAAATTACATTAATTTTCGAATAAGACGCAAAACGACTTTACACGCTCGAGGACCATTAAAATATGTTCTTTTTTTTCAAATATTGAGACTATAAATTTACTGCCACAGATAATAATCAGAGTCCTTAAATAGTCATGTTTAAATACATAATTTATTTGATTGTATAATGCCAAAATTGAACAACAACAATATATTTATGTTACACTAGCTTTTGCCCGAAACCCGTGAAATTAAAAAAAAAACAATACTTAATAACCCATGTGTGTTTCCAGAGTATCCTCTAAATCTACGCCAAGTTTCACCGTGATCCGTTGAGCAGTTTAGGCTACAAACTTTAACAAACATTCATCTAAACACTCTCATTTATAGCAGTAAAATAATGTTTTATGTGTGCTGGTACTCTATTGACGTAAATAGTTGATACCGCATGACATCAATTAGTAAAATACCCGATCGAATTGTAAAAACACATAATTCAACTTTTTTCTTTCCTTTTAACGAATCGAAATAACTTGTTTGCAATAAGCTCAGCAAATTGGACATTGATGTAAAAGCGCATAACCTCAAAAAAGTCATGCGGTCGCGACGGGAATATTTGAGCAATTTTTTGCGGGATACGAAAGTGCATTATTAGACGGCATTGGAATGCGTTTCGAACGCACGCGCCGTCCCATCTCGCTTCATTGGCTCGTAAGATGTTGAATGTTGAATCATTTTATCGCGTATTTAGAAATCATAGTAAAATATCGTATAACTATAATTCGGATCCTATTTTTAACATTTAATTTATCAGTGAAAGTAAAAATTTGAGTAACAAAGATCTTTTAAAATTCCGAGAGATTTGCGTTTCTATTTTAAGATAAAATATATGTTTCTTTTTCAAATTAACCATGGGTTTCCATTGCCGAAATAACTATTTAAAATACTCTCTGTTGTTTAAGTTTTTTAGGACAATGAGGTATGGAAATATCTATTACTACGTAGAAATTAATGATAAGAACACAAAACTTATTATAATCAAAGTAATATACCGTTACATTTTTAATTATTAAAATTTTACTAAGAAATAAAACTATTCATTCTCATTAAAATCATAAATGCATTCACAGCATCAATAGCTTTCATCGCGAAGCTATAAAAAAACCTTAACGAAGGTACAATAAATATTCAAGTAACAGGCGTGAAAAATTTTTATAGCACATAAGTTATAATCAACATATATGTGGAGTAATAAATTTATTCTCCGACATTTAATGTAGGCTTAATGAATTTATTTCGTAACAATGTTCACTTAAAGTATACGGAAGTCGTTAATACTAAAATGATAAAATTTTCTATACATCCAGTTCCGTGTAAGATTAAAGGCCTGTCTCACCACTGCCTGATAGAGGCTGAGATAGCTTAAAAATGACGTCACTGTCAGATAAGGTAACAAAATCCGATATTTCCATCACAAATTTTACACGTTGGATTGTTTTAAGACAATCTACAATTTGGTGGAACAGGCTCTTAAACTTATATTTCTTTTAATAGCTTTGACAAATCAAATAAGAAACAAAGGTATAGGAAAACAGAAAAAAGATATGTGACACCAATAACACAATGGTTAAAGTTAAGAATATGATACCATGTGGACGCATTCGACCATTATCTCAGCCCATATCCCAAAGCTAAAGCTTAGTTAGAGCGGTAAAGTAAACTACTTGAATATGAAAATACTAAAAAAGTAATGAACTATCAGCACATTGTATAAAAAAGACGCTTTCCATTCTTTATATGTCCCTATGTGAGTTGAGATTTTTGATTTTAATGGATAGAGGGATTCAAATGGAAGGTGTGTAACATAGTAGGGAAATACTGCCGGACGGGTGCGTTTAGTATAAATAATAAATAATGCAACTTACCAGCCACTATATTTCCGACGGCTCGTGTTCTTCGTTCTCCAAACAATCATTATAAATAGTCACAGCACTGTCATATGTGAACAGAACACAATTGTCACCTTCTGTCTGGTGTGTTGTACGCACTATTGTCACTGAACATATCCCTTTTGTGTAACACTTCACTGGTTTAAGTGCGATTTTAAGTGCAGTTTCTTGTTATCTGGAAAAAAAGAAAGATTTTAAATTACTAATTTTCTAAAACAGGCGAACTAAATTAAACTATATCTTTTTAACGTTCGTTACGTATCTTTAACATTTTTTATCCTACTAAAATGCGAAAGTATAGATGTATAGGCTGTTAGTTTGCAGCCAAAATGACTGAACGAGAAAAGTTGACAGATGGAGAGGGTAGTCTGGAAAAACACATAAATCACTTTTGTTTTTTTTTTAATTCCACGGTGGATTAACGGCCCAAAGCTATATAATAAATCTTTGTTTTTTTTCAACACATTTTCAAATAAGGCTACTGAATTATATCTATGGTTATATTTTGTGTGTAGACATGAGTAGGAAATCTTTTGAACATATATTGGTGTCTAATAACGGACAAATAACTGCCTGAGAAAGTGTTTTAACTAAAAATAAATGACAATATTTTTGTACGTTACTAATACAAGCAATATTAGCCTCTGATGACATGTGTTTAAAGCATCCAATCGTATCAATTGTGGATACGATTCTATGTGTTAAAAACGCCAAAGGCATCGTAACAACATTAACAATGGACCATTCAAATTGAATTGTAAGGTGTATTCTAAAAAGGGAAAACTAGAAAAAATCAAGTAGCACTTCGTGTAATTTAGTCAATGCTTCTTGTGTTTAAATTGTGGATTCTTTTTAGTATTGTATGAATTGTATAAATTAGTTTAAGTACGAGACTTGATTTAATACAATAAATTGAAAATTAGTAATACTTGAAAGGAATTTCAAAAACCACAAAAAAGAAAGTTTTACGTAACCAATTCAAAAAAAATTGTAACAGAATATAAAAAATCGATTTAATTTTCCATTTTAATTACAATTTCGAATGAATACAAATTCAAAAATTCTTGAAATATCTCATAACAGGATGTAATATTTCACACGTAAAATATTTAATACATTTTACATGACCTAGTTTTTGATACAGGTTTCTTTGAAATTTTTGTATCAATAATTCATATCCGACAATCTCTTATAGCTGCAATAATATAGTCGGTTGTTAAAACTATTTATTTTATAACCCTTATTTTCGCAAATAAGATAGAAAATTAACCAACCCTACAAATTTTGTTGTAAACCTAAATTATGACAGAAAAAAATCTGGAGTATGAGAAAATATCAGGACTATAGACCCGTACACAAATTTTATTTTCGTGAAATATATAAATCAGATAAATAAACAAACTAACTTACCAATAAATGGACGTCTTCCAATAGATTATAAGTAGAATTTAACTATCAATTTATCGTTGCTAAGTTGTATCTTAACATTTAAAGTTATATAGCCAACACTAGAAACGACTTAAGTGCTAATATTACTGTTTTAAGAATTACACACATTAAACTAGCATACGTGAGATTTTATGTTCAAACAAAAGTATCATCTAGTAGGTACTTGGAAGCCCACATTAAACTAGCTACTTGTATTTGAGGCATTTCTTATGTACGCAGCATGAATACAAAAATAGACCTAATTGTGTTTTAAACGGTAGACTGAATGGTGTATAATCGCTTGACATAGACTACACAATGTGGCCTACTGCGAGCTTCGGATCGCGACGGTTCTGAAAACTCGGCAAGCGGGGCTTTGCGACCGTACTCCGTACACTCCGAACGGCTGGTAACGGTACACACGTGTGACTGTCGATAGCGCCGACAGACTCGCTACTCACGCTCATTTCTACGTATGAGGTGGCGAGAAAAAATAAACGTGATATTAACACGAAGTGAGGTACGTACTACTTTGATAGAGGTTCCTCCTACAGTGCTGTGCTTTGAACTTAGTGTGTGTTTTATATGAAATAACAATTTAGTTTACACATTATGTCACTATTGCACATTATGTGTTAAAAAAATATTTTGAGATCAGACCTCATCTTTTCTTGAAACGCTTCAAGGGACTTTTTGACCGTTGTATTGAAAGGGCATTAATATAATTGTAACTAGCGTAATAACCTTAAACACTCAGAGCCACTGATCCCGCCAAGATGGCGCACTATTCCAATACAGATGTATGACATTGACAGCTGTCAAGTAGGCACGTGATGTATATGCCAATAATCTAGTGTTGCGCCAATCTTCCAGCGTAGTACCGATAAGCTCATTCATTGATAAGCTATTACCATATGCAATTGTGTTTATATTGATTTTTCTTAAAGAATTTCCTTCAACGAAATTATACGTATAAAGTACATACGAAAGTTTCGATTCCAAATAAGACTATGACTGCATAATAAAGGAATTTCACGACATGAAATATGATGTGACCAGAATCGAGAGCGGTATGCGCCGGTGACTTTGACGTGCAAAAACTTGAGCTCGGTTCGACTGCTAATAAATTGAGTGACAACCAGATTGGTGACATACAACAGGCTAAATTCTTCATACTTTGATTTTTATCCATTTAATATTACATTTATGTTTGTAGCTGTTATATTTAATGCATTAAGAACATCATAATTAAGCGAAAATACTTCAAAGTTTAACGAACAAAGCTGTGAATATTTTTTAATGCTTGTGAAATAGTGTTTGAAAGCATTTAATTTTAACGGCCTATTCATATCTTAAGAAGTTCGAAGTTAGAAGGATGGGTGAACTATAATTAGATTTTTTATCTGTTGAAAATGCTCAGCGGCTGCTGAGAGCGGCGATATTATCGTCAAAGAGACGTCATAAACATTTAACGCATGAGAGACGAATGCGGAACGAAATTGGATAGTCCGGATCTACTAACGAACCACCGGGAGCGATACGTGCTTTAGACAAGATACAACAAAACATTATTAAGGATGTGAGAAGCATTAAACATAGCTTCTTTATAGTTAATTATTTCTTACTAATATTATAAATGCGAATGTTTAGATGGATGGATGGATGGATAGATGTTTGTTAGAGTTTGTAGCCTAAACGGCTGAAAGGATCTCGATGAAATTAAGTATGGTTGTATAGTCTGGAAGAACACATAGTCTACTTAATCTTTTTTTAAATCCACGCGCACGGAGTCGCGGGCGAATGCTAATATTTTATAAACTCTTGGATGTTTTCAAATTAATTTTGTACTTATTAACATGAGATAACATTCTTCTTAGTTAAATTCCGTTTAATATTAACCTTAGTTATAATTCATTGTATACAAATCTTTATTTTATGAAAAAAAAGTATAAAGCGTAAATACACACTATTTTGTGGCGTAGGATGTCAGCAATCACAGCATATTTTTGAATAAATCTTTCTTAAAAAAAGCCTTACACTTAGGACACGCTTTAGACTAAATATTTTCACGCTATTAAATTTAGGGGTAAACAAATTGGAAAAAACCTTCATGGGGAAAGGGACCATAAACGACAAGCTGCCAACATTAAAGAAGGTTATAATGGTAACGGTAATTTGCAATTGAGAATTTGTCAAATATAAACAATAAAATAAAGTTTACATAATTTCACTCGAATGACGCCGCACGGGAACAGCTAGTTAATAAAACATTTATAGAATTCGATTAAGCATTATTCTAGGTTTCTATGTGTCGCCTATTTATTGTAATTGTTATTCGTGTTAAGTTATAAATAAGTGCTATTTCATCCAAGATACTGGTTTATTAATTGCTCTTTACTACTTCGTAAGCATTTATTACACAAAAATACTTTATGGTGATGTCTCTTTATAATTACTAGTTACAGTAAGATCTAGTTACGACTGATCATAACTCCACATATATTTAAATATATTTAGGTTACTCCTTAACGACTTCTAAGAAGAAAGGTAATAGAAAACTTACTTCGTTATAATCAGATTATAAGAAACATTATAAAGAGTAAAAAACTGTTCTTGAGAAAGGAAAACACTCTTACTTTTATTTCGGCATGACTGTGACCTCTGATCGAATTCCAAATGGTGCATAGCTTTGTCTATAAAAAACTCTAGGCTTCTTGTCATAGCTGTCATGTACAATAGCTGTTAGTTTTATGACTTAAATTCTGCTTTTATCAGACTTCAGTTTTAACTGCACAGTTTAAATAATCATATTGAAATAATCTGCCAGCAATATTTGTCTCTAATTTCGTTCGAAATTAAAAAAATGTTAATATCTACTCTTTAGTTCCATCAGATAAATAACTATATCAAGTTTTATCCAGGTTAGGCAGCCTTTCTCGAGATATATTCTAACAAACTTTCATCAATCCAAACCTTCCCATTTATGTTAGCAATGTAAGAAAAAATTAAAAAAAAAATTAAAAAAGTGTTACTCCTATACTAAAAGTGCATATAACCTTATTGTATAGCTGTATCTAATGCACAAGAAACGCTGTATTTATGAACAGGATATTGTTAATAAATTGCTTGTCGGCTATTAACTTAACGACTTTAAAATATACACAAATATGTAAACTCCGCTCTAACTGATCATTTAGTTCCGTGTTTTCGTTTCTTTCCGACGCGTAATTGGCTACGGTTTCCGCCATGTTACTGTCGGCGTATATCTGTGCTAAGATACTATCGGCCCAACATTCATATTTACAATGTTTATTTCTTTTTAAATACATTACCTTATCTTGATGAACAAAGAAAATGAAGACATATGGTACAAATTGTAACAGTAAATAATGCGCTGAATCGAAATGGAACGTTAAGTTGATCTTTCTTGTTACTTTCGGATTAAATGCATTTTTAGATCGCGCACACCTTTGAGTAAACTATCGCACAACTGTTTAGTCGCGCTTTGTTTACTATGAGCTTATATTAAGGTTATTATTTGTGCAATTTAAGTATTGAATGGGCTGCGAAACAATCGACAATCGCACAACAGTTGTGCGATAGTTCAATCAATTTTGTGCGCTCGATCTTAGAGTCTCGGCGGAAAGGCTTGTAGCAAGCGAGTTAATTTGGTATAGACTTATTTAAGTTTGTTTATTTGTTAATTACACTTCGTGATAAATGAAATCAAACTTTTTTTGATCTTTA